AAAGAGTGTTTTGTGATTGGCCTACTTCTGAATGGAAGGGGTATAGCTGAGATTAGCATGTACAATTTGTGGACAGCAAGCAAGGTATGTATGTGTGTGCATGAGATTGAGACTAGAGAATTCAATTTCAAACCATCCAAGGCATGTACATGTTGATTGATCAACTAACGGCAAACTATTCATTTGGTTTCTATAGTTGTTCCTATTTTTAAGTTTTATTCACTGCACGAGAAAATTGGAGGTTTTAGTCCCTAGACGTGCATAAAAGTTTAAGTTTCGGTCCTTATTAGGGAAAACTTTTTAGCTGTATAAAACTGTTACAAAAGCTTTTTCACATGACAAACTATCACAAAAAAATATTCACAAGGGAGTTCAATGATAATACATTATCAGGTGTAAAATTTTTTTACACTTTCAACTAATAAAAAATTATTATTAGTATTTTTAAACTAATTATTGTAAAAGTTAACAAACTTATCATAAATGATGATTTGTTATTGAATAAAATTATTCTATCAGTGAAAACTTAAAAATGAGAACAACTATAGGAGCCAAATGAAAAGTTAAACCTTAAGTAATTAACTAACATTATAAAATTTCTTCTCTTTTCTGTGGCAGCTACTATCGGAACAAGAATTCTCATTGATGGTGATTTCCATTTTAGTAGTAAATGCTATATTAGCACCACTCATAAAATACATATATGATCCTTCAGAACAATACCAGACCGGAAGAAGATGCACAATTCAACACAATAAGCGAGATTCGGAGCTTCGACTCATGGTGTGCATTCACAACAATGACAACCTTCCCACAATTCTCAACCTCTTAGAAGCATCCTATGCAAGCAGAGAGAACACTGTCACGGTCACAGCATTAGTCCTAGTGGAGCTTCATGGAAGAGCAAGGCCTATTCTTGTTGCTAACCAACCCTATGATGACCTTCGCTCGGGGTCATGCAATGCAAATCACATTGACAATGCCCTTAGGCAATATGCACGGCAGAATGAAGGATATGTATCTGTTCAATCTTTCACTTCAATCTCCACATTTGACACCATGTATGATGACATTTGCCGAATATCACTAGATAGCGGAGCCAACATTTTGATCATTCCATTTCACAAGAGATGGGAAATAGATGGAACCGTTGAGGTTTCTCATAGGTCAATCAGAACCGTGAACATTAAAGTCCTCGAAATGGCACCATGTTCTGTTGGTATTTTAGTTGATAGAGGCACCTTAAGTGCTTCTCCATCACTCTTGATGGCTAGAGCAGCATACTATGTTGCTGTGTTATTCGTCGGGGGTGCAGATGATGCTGAGACACTAGCCTATGGTACTAGAATGGCTAGGCATGAATCTGTGTTTGTGACAGTGGTTAGGTTCCTTCTGTTTGGTGAGGAAAATTCTAAGGATAGAAAACGTGATAGTGATCTTATAGATGAATATAGATACTACAATGCTGGAAACCGTAGGTTTGAGATATTGGATGAAGTGGTGAAAGATGGAATAGAGATGTCTAGCTGCATAAGAAGGTTGGTGGATTATTTTGATCTTGTGATGGTGGGGAGGGAGCATCCAGATAGTGTTTTGTTTCAGGGACATGACCATTGGAGTGAGTGTCCAGAGTTAGGGGTCGTTGGGGACATGCTAGCATCACCAGATTTTGCGACCAAGGCATCGGTGTTGATTGTGCAACAACAGAGAATAAGAGGAAGGTTTGCGACACAAAGTCTGAATCCTATGCCAAATCGCAAAGATCAGCTCGTGCATGATGTTCCAATCGATCACACGTTAAGTCCTTCATGTACTATTTCAGTCGACAAATAATGTGACAGAATGTAGACAGATTCCCATGTCAGTGAAATTTTTTAGATTCTCTAGTTTCCCCCTGCCCAATGTTTTTTCATTGTTGATATATTCATGCATGCATGTCACGGATTTTTAATTAAAACCGTCAAGGTACTTGCGACATTCGACAAAGCAATGAAAAAGTAAATTGATCCCTTGATTATAAACACGTAATTAATAATCTCAACATTAAGTTTTCACAAGGTGGATTGCTTAATACAGTGATCTATATAAACTTATAAGTCATCTTTGGATTAAGCAAATATTAATTAATGATCGTGGAAAGGCCATACTTGGAAGGCAAGTAGCACAACTTTTGGTGAACAAAAGACATTGGCGTCACCAAATAGCATCTCTACTATTTATGGTGCGTATTCACATCATCTCCAATAGAATAAATTCTTATGTGATTCAACTTTGTACCATTTTATGCTGCGATTTAAGGGTACACACTAAAACGTTCTCGTCGAATAATAAGGATTCGTCAAATAATAAAAAAAATCAATAAAATTATATTGGCCTTAAAAAGTAGAATAGATTACACTCTGTTATTTTTCTAGTTCATTAAACCAAAAACAAATTTTATACTTTATTTCCAAATTATGTTACACTTTCATAGTTTAGTCTTCTATATTTTCTTTATGTATTGCTAGTTAAAGTGAAAATATTATAATCACATTTAAATTTGCCGTTAATAAGCCCAATTTTCTTTTTTATCAAATCAAGCAAGAATAATGGATAAAAGGAAAGTTTAGTGATACAAAGTTTTTCATAGTTTTTAATTGTTTAATATGTTCACCTTTTTCGGCCTATAATTTTTAAAATAAAACTTAGATATAGTATTATAACTATTCTTCTCCACTTAAATTGGTATTTTAAGTCTGTATAGACGTTGATATCCTATTAGATTATAATAAAATTTAGATACAATTTAAATTGATTATATAAATTGTATTTATTCATTTTTAAAATAAATAATTTAAGTAATAAATATTATTATAATAAATAAAAATTATTTAATATTTATTATATTTTTGAATTAAATAAATTTTTTTAAAAATATTTTGCATTTTATTTCTAATTTACTAAATATTTTTTTTTATCCATTTTTCTTCTCTCTCTCTTTTTACTTTTCTTCTTCTTTATTTCTATTCTTAACCAAACCCATGAGAAAACAATAAACTTTAATCCTTACACATACATAAAAAGTTAAGTTTTTGTCTTAATCATGGAAGCAATTAGTAACGTGATTGACGTTAACAATGTTACAAAATTTTTTTGGACAATTTTCTTAGTACTAGTAGATGTAAAAGCATAAATAAAACGAGGCCAAGAAAAAAAATGCAATAATTTTTTAGGGACTAAAACATTAATTTGAGTTGGTGTGAGTAATGAAAGACTCATTTTGTTTAATTAAGTGGTTAAAGATTGAATTCTGATTATTATAAATTTTAAAAATTTAAGGTGAGAGATAATATTCATTTATTTGATACTTATTAAACACTCGAAAAAAATTGTTTACCTATTAAATCCTGATTCTTACAAATTTAGAAAATTTAATTTGAAAAGAGATAACTACATATTTTATGTTTGTCAAACTTTTATAAAAAAATTATCCATTTATTTAATAAAGAATACTCCTTGTTAAGAAAAAAAATCTAAAATTCCTTTTAAGGAATTAAAACTTAAAATAAGAATATCTATAGAAAACAAGTAAATAATTTTAACGGGAATGAAATTTTAAATGTTAATAAGTATAAGAAAAGGAAAAAAGAAAAGCAATGCCTATGCATACAAAATTCCGCAAGATGATGTGACTAGGAAATTTAATAGGATATTACAAAGACTTAAAATCATTCCACACTATCAATGGGCGGTTAGGTTAGGATGAGACAACTTTAAAGTCAATTTCAAGCATCATGCTTAACACAATAATAAATATGACACTTAATTTCTTTGGTTAAAGTTATTTTATCAGGTATAATTAAAATTAAAATTTTAACATATTCAGTTTCATTGTATTTAACGTTCAAGTTTTTTTTATTTACAAATATTAAACTTGATATGCTAGATTTTATAGAAATGATTATATAATTCTTTTATAGTATTATTTTATTTTTCATATTAATCAAATCATCTTTTGTTTATAATCTTTTTACATTTTCTCATTACAAAATAAAAATAAATTTAACATTTTATTAATATTGTAAAATGACTATTAAAATGGAACTTTTATTATTATTATTATTATTATTATTATTCTCTCTGAAAAGTAGCACATATATAGGAGTACAATTTTACAAGAACATAAAGCAACTCTTGCAACGATAAGATACAAAAGCAACTTTTAAATACAATAAATTCGCAATTAATAAAGACAAGGAAACAATTATTTCAAAACCGCATTACCTTCTGTACCAAATAAAATAAATTTAAATAATAGTATTATTATCGAAAAACTTATAGCCACTACTCCAACACTATTCATGTAAATATCTGTAGAAGACAATTGTAATTTTTTTAAGAAAAAAATTGCAGAGGAATCCAAAAATGCAAGATTAAAAAGAATAGTTGAGTGTTGAGTGATTCTAAAGGTTGGAAGAAAAATAAAAGAAAGAAGAACAAAGAGATTGTTAAAAGGCTTAGCCTTGAACGTGACGCAAACGTGTCTGGCAAGGGAATGGATAGAGAATTATTAAATAGGTCTCATTGTTTGCTTTCTTCCTTAATTCTGTAAGCATCTCATTCTCTTGTTTTCCTCATTTGCAACCATGTCAACCTCATCATCTTCCCAAACCCAATCCCTCAAAATTGGCATAGTTGGATTCGGCACTTTTGGCCAATTTCTGGCCAAAACAATGATAAAACAGGGCCACACATTAGCAGCAACTTCCAGATCCGATTACTCCGACCTCTGTCTCCAAATGGGTATCCATTTTTTCAGGTAAACCAACCATGCATGCATACACATGATTGTACCACTCACCTTTCACGATAACCATTTCATGACATGTCAAACGTTATTGCAGGGATGTCAGCACTTTCCTTGCCACCGACTTGGATGTCATAGTGTTATGCACATCGATCCTATCACTGTCTGAGGTTGTCAGGTCAATGCCACTCGCTTCCCTGAAGCGCCCAACACTCTTTGTTGATGTTCTTTCAGTCAAAGAGCACCCAAAAGACCTTCTTCTACGAGTGAGCAGTTACATCCACCTGAGTAGTAATAACTTTGTTTACTTGTTTGTTTCATGTGGTTCATTGATCTTTTTTTCCTTTTTTTTTTTTTTTTTTGTGATGATAAGGTGTTGCCAGAGGACTCGGACATTCTCTGCACACACCCAATGTTTGGACCTGTGACTGGGAAGAATGGATGGAGAGATTTGACTTTCATGTATGACAAAGTTAGAATACGAGATGAAGCTACCTGCTCTAGTTTCATTCAAATTTTTGCAAGTGAGGTGCGTTAACAAAGATGATATATAATAATTGTACACTCCCACATCCTAGGTTATATAACCTCAAGAAATTAAGTGATCAAATCTCATAAACATGATCGTTATTGAGAATAAATGAATAGTAAATAATTCAATCTTCAATTTTCCCCTGAAGCTAGTTTAAACAGAGTCTTCACAAGTTTGGACCTTTATTGGTTGGTTTACAAAAGAAGCACAAAAATCAATGGTGAATGCCTTACATTTATGATTTATTCCGGGTAGATCTATTTCACTGTGTTTTGTATTATTAAGTAGGGTTGCAAGATGGTAGAAATGTCCTGTGAGGAACATGACAAAGCTGCTGCGAAGAGCCAATTTATCACACACACAATAGGAAGGTATGTGGCTTTGTACATATCCAACAAGTCATAGACAAGCACTAATGTAAATGCTCTTAGATGCAACTTTTGGGTGCTTCTTGATCAGGACATTGGGAGAAATGGACATTAAATCCACACCTATTGACACCAAGGGCTTTGAGGCACTTGTTAAATTGGTAAACAATTATTAGCATTTCGTCCTAGTTCCTCCAAAAGCTTTCCTTTATTTTATTCATCACTAGTTATAGTATAATAAATCCAGTTATATAACATGTGAAAAGTTACTTGCAGAAGGAGACAATGATGGGAAATAGTTTTGATTTGTACAGTGGATTATTCGTGCACAACAGATTCGCCAGACAAGAGGTATGGAATTGCCAGCGAAATGCTTATCTCCAAAAATTGTACCAAGATTTATTTTCAAATCCCTTTTTAGAGCATCAAATCAAGTTCCTCAATATAAACTCGTGAATTGTTAAAAATATGCAGCTGGAAAACCTTGAACATGCCTTGTACAAAGTCAAAGAAATGTTGGTTCAAAGGATGAATGAGGAGCAGGGTCAAGAAAGACTTGAAAGTTGATGCATATGTTTTATGATGAAGATATATTCCGGGAATATGAAATTTTCTCTTGTAGTTCCTGTCATATAAATTATTCCCATTTCAGTTTTCTTGTTACCAAATTGAAACCGATAAACCAAAGAAACTGGTATATGTTCAATCTTGAAATTAAAATGTTGCTACATTCTTGTTCCCGGCGTTTCCTTAGTAATTTCATGAAGTTAAAAAGCATATTTAGTGACCAACGCCTAAAACCATTTAACTTCAGTTGGTTTCACTCAATGAGACAGTGTTTGGTTCATCCTTTTCTTCTCCTTAAAGAAAAGCCGAGTCACACATTTGAAAAAAAATTCTTAAAAAATTAGAGAGCTTATTTTTTATGAAGGAAAAGGAAGAAAAATGTCAGAAAATATAAGGAAAACTTTTAAAAATGAACTGCACACAACCAACCTCTTTCCTTTGAAACTACTTATCGAAATACTTTGTCTCTATTTTTTATATAAAAAAAAAAAAGAATTTTGAGAGCTATTGTGTATCAACAATGTAAAAGAACATGAAGATCTTACATTGAGAAGAGAAGCAAGAGACGAGAAGAGAGAGAAAAAAAAGAGAAGACAATTGTAGTTTTCATTTATAATTTTCTTAATAAGGTTAAAAGACTAAAACATAAAAAAATTTAGATAAAATAAATAATTTAATTTTTTATGAATGTTTTGAAAGACAAAATAGTCTCATTAAAAATGAAAACCAACAGCAGTTGAATGAGAAAATATTCCCTTTATATATTATTATAGATAAAAAATTGAAAACCAAAGCAAGTTATCCCCTTATAAAAGATCAAAGTTTAGTTTAAAAGACACTTTTAAACTAAAACCGTCAAATAACTCCTATTTTATTGAGTTTTAGCTTTAAAGTGTTTTTTTTTTTTGTTGAGACTTGAAAGTAGCTTTTAATTCACTTTAAAGTAACCGAAAAGCCCAAAACAAGCTGGACCTAAAATGTCCCGAGTTCCCTTGATTTTAAGCCAAATGTCAACTACCCCCTTCATTCCGAATAAATAAATCAGAAGTTCAGAACACCCTGTGATCCTCTGGGGTCTTGACACGAGCCTTCTGGCTTTCCAATAAATGGTGTCCATAGAGCATGTATTTCCTTGAGATTGAAGAGAAATAATCTAAAACTATTTACCAAAGGTTACTGCAGATCTAAAGAAATTTTTTTACACGTGATAAAATTGATAATATAAAGATGTACAAACGTCAAACTCCATATCAGAAAGTTAAATACAATTGCTCCTGTTATCTTTTTATTACCATTTTATCAAGACTTACAAAGAGATATATCCCTTAAGCTGAGAGTATAATAACTTAAATTGGTTTCGATTTGAAACACCTCTATTTATTCCTCTTAAATTTAAAAGAAAAATATTACATTCACCAAACTGGACATATCAGAACGTATACAATTGAGCTGTAATGGAATTGTGAACAGGTTCATTCAGAGAGGGAGAGAAAGATACTATCATGTAAACAATAACCTATTCCTTTGTGCCTATTTACCAGCTTTTCAAGAATAATATAAATTACAAAGAAAAAATGTCGCAAGATATTTTCACCTCATTCATTTTTTATCTCATCAATGCTAGCTTCTTCTGTTTCGTTGCATAAAATTGCAGCATGATTCGGAGAATCTGATGTCGGTAACTCTGTCTTTCTAACTTGAAGGCCAGTAAAGCGCGCTAGGTCAATCCATTGCTGCAGCAATTCACGAAAAACCAAATTGGAAACTTCCTAGTCAAATTTAGAAATTAATGTGCAGATGATTAACACAAAACTAAATTATACTCAAAATAATTGTTAGTACTCTGGCAGTTTTAGTCTGTTTCAAATTATGTCACTTTCGAAAACCAAGAAGATATTGCTTGTTTCCTTGTCTTTTGGTGTTTCACAAAGTAAAATGAAATAGCATTAACGGTGTGAGAGGATACTATAGTCAAATTAACTTATGTTTTCCTGAAATAGAGAATATTAATGACTTTATCGATCATAGTACAAACCAATAAATAATTATTGTGAAATAGAAGTAGTATTAAAGGCAAATGCTAACCAGATAATTGGTTAAGAAGTGTCTAAGTGGTTAAGAAATCAAAAATATTTTTTTTTATCAGGAATTGTTATTAATGGATTTCCATCATGATTTTCAATACATCCCCGACATGATTCCCAATAAAGACTTTCCTTAAAGACACTTGTAAAGGGATATCGGAAGTTTTAAATGAAAAGTAACGTGTTACATGTTGTAGTTCTCATTAAATACTTTATAGTTTTTTATTCCTTAAAGGCACACCTTAGTTTAAGATCACATATTCCAAGACAGGAAGTTATTCTCTCTGTCCATCACAGAACTTCACTTATGTGAAATTGCACCACATATTCTCGCTGTCCAAGACAATAAGTTTTTTATGATTTACCGCACTTGCACCAAAGCACACACTGACGCAATTATAACTCCTCAAAACACATTTCCATATGAACACTTTGAATGTGAAATCGGCCACATTAAAAAAAAAGGAAAAGTTATACTTGATTTTTGAGAAGAATTAGTGTTCAATCCCAAATAAATGAAATTGGCTTACAGATGAGATTGTAAACATTGAGCACTGAAAATGAACAAAAGTAGATAGAAAATAAAGTAATTAAAAAAAATCTGACCTGAGTTCCCCAATAGGAATTGATTGTCCGAGCTACAAAAGAAAGCATATTTACAAGGAATGTTTGGGAAGAAAACTGTTCAGAAATTCGATGCTCCACGATCCCAGCAATTATCTGCATAACAGAAATATTGTAATTTCGATATTAATACAGAAGGACAGTTGCAGACTTTAAATGGACGCAAATTTATGGAATATGATATGACTAGAGATATGTATAGTCACAGAAAAATCAAAAATCAATTTTACAAAAGAAAGAGCCCAAATAATTAATCAGCAGAGTGCAGATGAAGAAGTAGAAAGAAGGATAAAAATACAAAATCAGTTACAATAGGTATTGTTGAACTATTTTTTTTATTTATTTTATCACTATTACTTTTAATAGCATTGCACCCGGTGTTTATTAACATAGTATTTGGTTGGAAAATAATATGGGGAATAGGAAGTCAATATTTTATAATACTTCCTCTTTTGGTTTAAAAATTTGGAAGGAGATGATAATTGAGGGGAGCAAAATCCCTCGATCAAATTTGGCAAAATCCCTCTTCTATCAAATTTGGCCTCCTTCCAAATTTTGAAAATTTGAAGAGAGAAAGTTTTACACTAATTGGACTAAACTATCCTTAATAGTTTCATAATTTCATTTATACATTCTGAGGATAAAATAATAAATTATTTTATTTTCCCTCTTATTTCCTTGTGAACCAAAGTAGGTGTTTCTCCCCCCTCTTCCAAATTATTTTATTATCAGTGCGTTCAGGATCTAAGTTGCAAGAAGATAATAAAGCATACGGCATTACTGTCCAATATTTCCTATTGTGCCACCCACCATAACATAGTGTACAACTTGTTATTCAAGAAGCAGCTGGTCAACTCCAGCTTTCAACATGTAAACTTAAATTTCCAAATGGTATTTGTCTGGCTTGCTTCAATAATTGTATATTGGGAAAAAATACAAGACATCACATCAACTATTGAAACATAAAACCATCAACGTGACAATCCTTCATTTCCTACAGAAACCAGCTTCAATCTTCCTTCAAGTCTATTGTTTCATATTAGTTAAAACCAAAAATTTATGCAACATAAAGTTCTCTATGTACCTGATAACGGAGATTTGCAGATACTCCGAGAAAGCAAGCATATACAACTGCTGTTTTGAGTATTGGTGACCTCATAATCCGTTGTTCAGTGACAACTTCTGGATTAAGGTATTTACGAATTGCATATAGAGAATTTGATGAAGCCACAGCTCCTAAGCTTGAAATAAATCCAACACTAGCAAGTTTTAGCCCACCAAATACAACTGATGCAACTCTATGATTGAGATTCCAGTTTGTTCCTGCTGGATTCTTTTGAAATGCATTGTCTGGGATGGAGCCAAGAAGTCCCATTAGAGAACCAACGTTGTCAGGTGCATTCATCTCATCAGCATATGAAAGGAATGACAAAGTTGGTGCAGGAAGCCACACAGTAAAGAAATCAACAACTGATCCTCTGACAGTGTCTGTAATAACATAGTCAATCTCTTGGAAAAAATTTTCTTTCCGCTTTTCATACTGTGCCAATAATGTTGTTGTTATTGATATAGCTTCTTCTATGGCCAATCTATGCAAGAATTTGGGATCTGCCAACAATCTTTCCCTGAAACCCTGTATCAAAAAGAACCAGATGCAGAGGTGGGAATATGAAGGGAACAAAGGGATGAAATTATCTCATGATAAAAAGCAGACTAAATGGTTGCATTTTCAAACAAAAATTTACCTGGAAACGGTGAGTGAGTTCTGAAATTAGAGGATACTTCTCTAGATCAAAAAAGTTCTGCAACACCTCTGGTGATACTAAACCAAGATCAATTCCCTTTTGGAGATCCTGAAATCAAAAGGAAAATATTATCTATGTTCGCAACCAATATTGGCATACACTATCCTGTTTAAAGCTTAAAGTATGATCATCTCATTTATTTTCTGTCTAACAGTTGTAATGAGTATTTCATCTTTGACTATTAGATTGAATAAAATAAAGAGTAACCCTTTTAAAATTACTTAGAGTAATGTGATCCCTCCTCATATATATATATATATAGAGAGAGAGAGAGGAATGGCACTAAATGCTCATTGGATACCGAAGTTATATTGCATACAAAGAAAATAATTCAAATATGTACTGACATGAGACATCTAGTAACATGCAAAATCTCTCATGTTTGTATCACCAAAATGGACAATGAGAGGGCATACAGGGCTAATAATTGGAAGGAGGGTCTACAGGGCAGGAAAAGTATCAGTCAACCAAATTAGTAAACGTAATTGCTGGCTTACCTGTGGGAGGGCATCTCGCCTCCGCCCAGCAGCATTCATAACCCGAGCAATCTCAGCACGGTCAAAGCAATTTCTACTGCAGGGTCTGGCAGCAGAATACCACAAAAAATCAGCAACAGGAACTTCTCCCTCTCTGCGAATGAATTGTCTTTCAGGGTCAAGTAATATAACTACTTGGTTTTTCTTTTGTATTTTTCTTGAAATTCTTGCTGGCACTCCAGTTCCTCTAGATCCATATGTAACATGGCTTGCACCAGTCACAACTATTAACATCCCGGTGGCCCCTCCATCAAGTACGTTTTGTAAGATAATCTGGGACATTGAATACTCATCAACTACTTTAGCCTGTGCAGCAAGGTATGAGCTTGGACCAAAAGGAATAGACAGATTTTGAGTACTATCAACTGAAGATCTACGTGAGACAGAAGTAAAGCCTGATACGAAGCCTGAACCAGCTGGAGGTGCATATAGTTTACGTTCATCCTTTGTAAGGCCACGAATTCCTTCTGCTTGGACAGTTCTCAAGATCTGTGGATGAGAAAATAGTCAAATTTTAAGTATCATTTTTGTGTCTTGACCTAGCAAGACAAGAGCTGAGCCTAATCCTACTGGGTGAAGTTGGCTGCATGAATAAATTGAAATTTCAAACCTTTCATCTCTATAAAAATATCATAATTTCAGAGAAACATTTAATGCCAGGTCCATTTGGTGCTCCGAAAGTTTTCTGAGGTCATCCTCTACCCTTACAACAGACTATCTTCCCTTCTCATATCATGACATGACTTATTTATTATTCAAGGCATCTTTAAATAATCCTATCTCAATTTTTTTTTGTAAAATACTTTTTTATTTTTAATATGGCAACCTTGAGGATTACGACTTATTTATAATTCAGTGCCTGTCTGTTGTAGGTTAGATTTTTCTAGACATATTACGCATATCATTTTACAACACATCTGCACCTACCTTTTGCATAAGTTTCTATGAAAATTTATGCATACCTTCAGTGGAGTACCACAAGCAACAAGATGAATTCCATTTTCGCGACAGTAGCTCAGAATAGGTTCATACTCCTGCCATCTTTGAGGAGGCCAATGTATCGTATAAGACTTCAAGGTTTCTCCATCTATCCTGCCACAAAGTCAAGTTTTAGTATAAGTAATGCATAATCGTGGAAGGCAATCAGACTAAGATGAAAGAAGCAGATATCAACAAAAATGAGCACAGCAAACATCAGTCAAGCAGATATCATATAGTTTCTCCAAAAAATTACAAATTAATTTGTGTATAAGCTAGTTTTAACTTATAGAAAAACTTGTTCCATTTTTCCTTCTTAGTTTTCTCTTCGTGAAGTACTTCCGGAGAAATTTATCCAAACAAACCCATGATTAATTCATTTCCAAAGCCAATGTGGCATAGGCGCATAGCATAGCTCTAATTCTAAGGATTATTAACACGTTCAAAATCACATAACTAGAAGATTCTTCCTCAAGCCCGCAATTACAACAGTCAACAAGAAAGCACCTTCAATTTACATGTTCAGAATCAACTCCATGATGGTTGCTCCACTTTTCAAGCTAATATTCAAAGTCAACGAAAACTTTGACCATCTATAATATCGTTGACGATGGCATTTAACAGTCTTACACAATGTAAAACAAATTGAAATGCATAAATTCATTACTTCTTATCCATATACTGATTGAGCGGTTCCTGAAGATTAGAGGGAAAGACTTCGAGCGCCAGAGACAAACGCTTCTCCTTCTCCACGCATCGCCTCTGCAAATTCTTCACAATCTCAAGCTCCAATTCCCTATCGTCTCGAACGGGAACCTGCTCCGCTTCCCCTAAATACACCACCCGAGCGTTTATCAACTTCTCCCACACTTTCCCCTTCTCTTTTCCTATCGCCAACGGTTCTCCTATCACCGCCGCGTCGTAAATCCGAGACGTTATCACTTCCTCCTCCTCCGGCTTCGGCGCCGGAGGAGGCTCCGCCGACTTGTCCTCTGCTCTCGCCGCCGCCGAGAGGAGAATCGACGCGCCGGCGGCCAGGAACGGCGCCATCAGAACCCCTCGCCGGCTGCTCCGAGCAGGAGGCTCGTCGCCGTTGGAACGGCACGGCTGGGAAGCCGCGGTGACGCGGCTGGAATGGCGGACGGATAGGTTGATGCGGCGGCGCTTGACAGGCGAGGCGCGGCGGAAATGGAGGGCGGCGGCGGCGTCATGAGGAGTGGCACGTGCGGCAGTGGTGGAGCGGAAGTAAGGCACGTGCGTGAGGGAAGAAGGCTGTGTGTGGGGCTTCATACTGATTTTGGCTTGAATCATTGACAAATGTTTGTGGCACAGCCACAGCCACACATAAACTAGCATTCCTTTATTTTCAGCCTTACATGACTGCACAATCTTTCTTCTATCATGCCCACATCTTTACAATTACACTCTTTATTTTTTGTTTTTTTTTTAATTACAAATTTTAACTTCTTATTTAATAATTTTGTAAAAAGGTTAAAATCATATAGTTTCCATTCTCTACTTTTTAGTCTTCAGATATTTTTAGTCTGTATATTTATTTTTTTATTTTTTATTTCATATAATTTAAATATTTTTTTTAATTTTTATACTTATAATTTTTAATTCTATCATCAGTTTTTCTAATATTAATTATTTTGTATTAATATGTAACAAGTGAGTAAAAATACGAAGTGATAAGAAATTTAATTTAAAATAATTTTAGTAAAATAAATTTGATATAAAATATATGAAGTTAAATTTCATCCACATAAAAAAGACAACAATTATAAAAAATAATAATAACAAAAACTAGAAGATTAAAAAAATTATAAATTAAAAAATAAAAACTTAAAAAATCTATTTTAA